TCCTTGGCCCAAGCTCTGAACAACCTTGGCTTGATTTACAAGATGCATTTGTATTATTGGCGCCCTTTGGATAGGCCCGTGGCGTTGACATGCTTGACAACTTCTTGCATACTTAATGCAATTTTTCAAAATACTAGGTCAATAATAGTCATATCTTCCAATTAACTATCACATCTTGATGCCAATTTGATGCACACTGATCTTGATCCGAAATGTGTACACCTAAATGCAGGCGGTCAAGTTGTAGTAATAATCCGGTGAAGTTTGGAGTCGAATCCACAGAGAACTATGATTAGTGTTTAAAAGTAAGCAGTGATAGAGACCAAGTAACTGGAAGTCTTGAGAGTTTGAAGTTGTGGGGTTTTCTAGACAAAATATAAGATAAATTAGCAAATATAACAACCACTCTTTAGTTCGAAGATCATAACATGTAATTGATTATCCGATTTATTATGTTTGTGCTTTATAACTCAATTAACTCTCATGTCAATATCAAGTTAATCAGAAGATAAAGATGGAATGTGAGAATTAAGCACATGATTCTGATGCCTTTCTAGAAGTTTACAAGAATTGTCTGTGTCGAGACTTAACTAGTCTACAAAACAAGCAAGTGTCTCTACAAGGCATCCAACCATGACATTAATGGTCCATTCTTTGAATAAAGTGCAATAATGGTGGAGATTGAAAGATTGTCATGAAGAGCTAGCCAGGGTGCTTGCCTTGAACCAACAGGTCTTTCTATGTAGAAGTCATCCGTTTCATAGAAGGAGCCCTTGGTTATACAAAGTACCTTAACTTTGCTAGATGCATTCAATCATCCAATAAGAAAGTGGAATATAAAGTATTAAAGCATAAAGGAATTACACAAACATAACTTCCGGGTAATCTTTACATATTTATCACCTCTTACTAAAGAGTGAATGAGGAACTACTTACTCTTCATGGCTTTTGTAAAGCTAGAAGAGTGAATGATACTCATCCCTACAAGTAGAGTAGCTACTAAGTGAAGCAAACTAAACAAAGAGCTTATCTTCAATGAAGAATAAGTGAATCATGTTCTACCTTTCACGACTTTGGTAAAGCTCTAGAAAAGTGGAAGTTTCACTCTTCTAAGAAAGAAGGATGCTCAAGCAATGGAAGTGAAATACATAAACAATAAAAGTAGAAGAAAGCTAATTACTCTTGGAGGGTGGTTTCCTCAACCAAAAGATGGAGGGTTGCTTCCTTAACCAACAAGTGAAGGGTTGCTTCCTCAACCAACAAATGGAGGGTTGCTTCCTCAACCAACAAATGGAGGGTTACTTCTTCAACCAAAAGATGTAAGACAAGCAAATATAACAAACATCTATGATTAATCAAAATGAGTAGGAGTCAAACCCTCACACAAGCTCCTTCCTAGTTCTTGGTGTAGTCTAAGCCTACAAACCAAGCTCTAGCTTCCTATTTTACAAGAGAAAAATTTCACCCTTGAAGCCCCCTTAATGGGAGTATTTATAGGCAAGGAAGGGGAGGGGGGAGATAGGAGAAGATGAATGAATAGTGGATGCCACCCAAGTCCAAGTAAAAGACTAACTACTCTGCAGACAGTCTGTGGAGAACGTTCGAACGTGAGTTGACGTTCGAACATTGTCTATGTTTTTTGCAGTATGGACGTTTGAATGGTGTCTGTTGTTCAAACGTGTCTTATGTTTTTTCTTTATAGGCGTTTGAATGCCAGATGAGGTTTGACCATATCACTCAAGTGGTTTATGGTCCTCTGAGGAAACCCATTTCCATACTTCATGCAGGACTTGGCATTTTTCACTCATTACCCAGGTCTTTAGTGGACGTTCAAATGTGATTGGCGTTCGAACGTGGTACTCAAGTGCACTTCCTTCTTTGCTGCAACACGCCATGCCTTTACAGTCTGGTCTTGTCTTTGTTCCAGTGGATGTTCAAACGTGAGTTGACGTTCGAACGATCCTACTTTGTTCTAAGCTTCTCCAATTTTGTTCCCTAATTCGCTGGTGTTACATTCAAGTGTGATTTTTGTTGCCCTTTTACCCTTTTACACTTTAGAACCTGAAAATGTCATCATTTAAACTTTATCAAAGTATAATTAGTCCAAAAAAGACATAATAATATGCTACATTTAAGTAGTAATCACACACCACATATGCCTTCATAGTTTTTGGCCATTACCAGGATGGTCTGTTCCTTGCCAGTGCACCTTAATAATAGGTGTACGTGCATTCCTTTCTTATATAGTTCCCTATCCAGGAGTATGTAGTTAGCGGCACATCTTTTGATATCCTACTCCACATCCTTATTTTAATACCTTAGAAACTGCATGATGTTGAACCTTTAGTCTTCCTCTTCCTCTTCCACTTTCATCATTAGTTTTTCAAAGTCCATCCCTGTGGTTCTTATGGATGGCAGGATTCTCGTTTGAACCTTGACTAGTTGCTCGTCCATTCCTTGAGGGATTCTTAGCCCTGATTCTAGTTGGGCTAAGTTGTTAACTTGGTCATTCATTACTCTTGGGACCGCTTGCAACATCACGTCGCCAAAATTTACCAATAATAACATTATGATGGAGTGGAAATGGCATAGCTCCCTACTTTTGTGTTGGACATTATATGTGATATGGTTAATGACTAATAGGGAATTATCGATTATTTCAATTGTTGACACTCCCATTCCCAACAAAATTTCAAGCCCAATAATGAATGCCTTGTATTCAGCTTGGTTATTAGTGCATTCGAACTCTAATTTAAATGAAAATTAAGTTTCAGCCTTGGGGTAATTCTATAATTACCATGGCCTCTACAGACTAACATGTCCTTAACCCATCGAATTTTAATTATCATGACTACAACAAAAAGTTTTTTTTGAGATGATTTAAATTTGTTGCAAAAAGTTTACTATTCGCAATGATTTTCTAATTTTGTCGCAAATTTCTATTTTGTCAAATTTTTTTGCAACATTTTTTCAAAAACGTCGCAAAAAAAACGATTCCCTCATAATTGTTTTTGGTGGGAGAAATGGCGGGAATTGACAATTTTTTATGACAAAAATTGTTCGTTGCAAATAGTTTTATCTCGTCGCAAAAATAAATAATCTAAAATTTAAAGTAAAATAAATTATAAATTTCTATTTTGACATTTTTTTGCGACTTTTTTTTAAAAACGTCGCGAAAAGGTGATTGCCTCCTAATTGTTTTTTGCAAGAGAAATTGTGAGAATTGGCAAATTAAATAAAAAATAATAATTTAATTAATTTTTTGCCACATTTTTTATAAATTTTTTGTAAATAAGAAATTTAAATAATAATAATTTAATTAATTTTTCGCGACTTTTTTAAAGAAACGTCGCAAATAATTTTTTAAGTAAATAAAAAATTAAAAAAATATTAATTTAATTAATTTTTCTCGACGTTTTTTAAAAAAGTTGCACATAAATTTTTATGTAAATAAAAAATTTTAAAAATAATTTAATTAATTTTTTACGACTTTTTTAAGGAAACATCACCAATAAATTTTAACGTAAATAAAAATAATTTAATTAATTTTTCGTGACGTTTTTAAGAAAACGTTACCAATAAATTTTTATGTAAGTAAAAAATTTTAAAAATAATAATTTAATTAATTGTTCGCAAATAATTTTCTAAGAATATTTATGGCGATGTTAATTTTTTTGGTCTCAGAATTAAAATTTTATTTTTGTAAATCAAAATTATAGTAAAAATAAAATAAAATATTAATTCGTGACGTTTTTGTTTTGTCACAATTTTTAAAAAACCAAAACGATGTCGTTTTGGGTGTTTTGAGCTCTTCCCACACAAAACCCTTCCTCAGATTCCCCAGCCCTTCTCATCGTCAGCCCCCTTCTCTCTCTCTCTCTCTCTCTCTCAATCCGAACCAAAGACAGCTACCACCTCCGGCCCCATCAACACCTCACCACCACCTCACACACAGATTAAAGCGAGCGCTAGTTCTACTAGTTCTTTGCCATTAATGAATGAGTTGAACTTTGGATTCCACTGCGAGCTTGAATCGACATTGTGGAGAAGCAGTAACCCTAGCTTTAATTGGCAATCTTGAATTCTAGAGTGAGTGCTTGAATCAGGTTTCAATCTCTCTTCTCTCGATTTTTGAAACCCCCTTCCCTAACCCCAATATCTCTTTGCCTGCCATTGTACGGTTCCAGAAAGTAATTCCCTTCCCACACAAAAAACACCAATCACTCTCACTGCATGCACGGATGTAGAGTCTAAAACCCATTTTCCGTATCTTCCACTCTCTCTCTCTCTCTCTCTCTCACACACACACACACTCTCTCTCTCCGACGGTCCGAAGAAACCCAAATGGTGTGAAGAAGAAACCCCTCTCTTTCTCAACTCTCAGCTAAGGTAATAGTTTCTACACCTTCTATCACTATCACTTCACTGCAGGTATGATATTTTTTCACAAGTTGTTTCTTTTTTGTGTGTGTGTGTGTCTTTATTGACATTGGTGTGTGTTTTTAAGTACACAAACATATATGCAAGCATAAACCCACACACACGTGTTCTATATGTATATAAGTATAAACATAATCTGTTGGGTGTTAGTGTCCATACTAGGTAGTAATGTCTATTTTTTGTCCCTAAATTGTGGTTGTCTTAGCTAAAGTAATCTCTTGACTTTTATATTGTGGATATTCCTTTATGAAACTAGGGTTTAGAACGCGGGTCTGTTTGATTGTAGGTGGATTTGGTGTATTTGCATGTTGGTTTTGTATATGATTTCAATTTGCCGATTCTAGTCCTTTGGTCAACATGGGGTATGTCTGGTTGCTGAGAAAATGTCAGTAAGGTAAGGAAAGGAAAATTGGGATTTTGCAATACGGGTTTGTATAATTTTAAGTAGGTTTTGTGTAAAATTCACAATATTGGGGATACTTGAACTTTGAACAACATATGGTCTGCTTGGTTATTGTGATTTTTTTTGCTACCGCACATCATCCAATAGTGACTACCCTATGAACCATGCTAGTCAACTCTCAAATCCCTTTCTTGGTCCGCTCCTTGAATATGGTAAATGTGAATCTTGTGGTACTGCTGAACCTGGGCTATGTGAAGGTATGTAGGATATTCCTTTTTTGGCTTTGCAATTTTTGTAGAAACTCTATTTTACTTATCATTTTTTTTTGGTGGACAGTGACCAAGTTTTCACTATCAGAAAACTTTGAGCTAATTGTCTTACTTTTTTTATGCAATCACAAAAATACAGCTGAAGTTCTTCTCTGTTTCTCATTTCAGGTCATTTTGGATATATTTAACTACCAATCCCAGTATACCATTCAGATCATGATAGTGAACTGAAACGGATATTAAGCTTGTTGTGCTTGAAGATGAAAAACAGGATGGTACTGTGTCTGAAATGGGCTTGGATATATTGAACTACCAATCCCAGTATACCATCTGGATCATGATAGTGAACTGAAATGGGCTTGCTCTATTTTGAGATCAGCATAAAAAAAGTTAATTTTTACACTGGTAAAATGATTTAATTTTATGTAATGTGCGTTTGTCCTTTTTGTGAGAAAATACTCCTTCATTTTCTAATCGAGTGGAGCTTATAAGTGTGTTATGTCCTGTGTTTAGATGACAAGAGTAGGCTGGATTGGAGACATACCCATTGAGAAAGGGGAGAGATTGAGATTCAAAAATTTTGCTCATTTCCACTGGAAGGGTATTCTTTTGCCTTAGATGGGTCATCTATTGCCTTAGCTTAAAAAACTCTTCCACCATGGAAACACTTTTACTGTTGTGTGCTTCCTGTTTGAAATATCTTTGTTACTAGATGATGTGCTGACCAGTGTGAATGATGAACTCTGAATTATCTATGAAAAGCATTTATCATGGTTAAATATCATCTACAGGTTAACCAGAAAGCTTCAGAATCTTTGGCTGATCCAAAAGAGCATCCTAATTTGTTTGAGGACTGGCAAGTCGCACTTGCAGTCGAATCAAAAGTTGTAGAGACAAGGTTCCATTTAGCGACCTACTACTACCTTTCCTTTTTTTTTCTTTCTCTTTTTGTTGTGATATTGTTGCTGTTTGATTAACCTGATTAGTCATGTATATGTGTGATATCTCCAATTTAGTTCATCAACTTAGTGTTAATATCGGTGCTCCCCCCACCCAACCCCCCACCCAAAAAAACACAAAACACAAAAGAAAACAATAAAAAAAGAAAATGAAAAAACATATCCAAACTTCATTTTGTGTTACTTTTTAATGCTGATGGGCAATGCCTCCAATATGAGTCTACTTTTGGGGAGTTTTTGAAGCATGGTTAGCCATTGGTGTATCATATTCAATGATAGTCGCCTTAATTTATGAATTAGGAGTTGTATGCATAGCAAGAGTCTGGTGTCATGGTAAGCCTACAAACTGTTTGATATAGTTTTTCAATTCCTTGACATAACTTGTTCTTTTAATTATTATTCTGTGTTCAATTAACATCAAAATTTCAAATAATTGCAGTGCCAAAGCAGTTGAATGCTTTGCTTGAGGTTGTCGATTCGGAGATTGCTAATATTATCGAGCTCGAGAAAGCGAGACAATGGAAGGTACTCATACTCTGTGTATACATGTTTGAGAGAGAGAGAGAGAGAGAGAGAGAGAGAGAGAGAGAGAGAGAGAGAGTATGTGTGTGTGTGCACGTGTGCACGCCAACTGGATGTATAAAGGGAGAATTAAATGTTCCTTTTCTGTTCCTGCAATTTCTAAGCAACCAAAGGATATTTCTAATTAGAATTCCTATTCAGCATGATTGTGAAATTGCATTTGAACCTAGAACTTATCATGTTTTATGGAACTTTTATGCCGTGTTTTTATAGGGACTTGAGCTCATTCCCTCAGAGAATTTTACATCTGTTTTTGTGATGCAAGTAGTTGGGTCTGTAATGACTAACAAATACAGTGAAGGATATCCCGATGCAAGATACTATGGTGGAAACGAGTATCTTTCTACTTTTGTTTTTTCTTTCTTTCTTGTTTTTCTTAATAATTATACTTGCTAATATCAGTTAGCATGAGCATGTGCACACAACTTCTTCTTTTTTTGGTTGATTTCCTTTTCATTAGTGCGTTTATGCATAGTTCATCCCATTTTCACTGTGTAGTCTTTATTGACTTTCTGCTATCAGGTACATTGACATGACAGAATCCTTATGTCAGAAACGTGCTGAAGCGTTTCGGTTGGATCCTGCAATGTGGGGAGGTAATTGCATTTTTATCTATCTATCTACATATAGCAAGGTTTTATCAGTAATCTTGTGGTATACATTGTAACTTGTAACATTTGCTCAAAAATTTTATTTTTTTCTTTGGATTCATTGCTATTTTTTTATATTTCGAAACGCATCTGCATATGAAAATTGAAAAATATAAAATAATATTTCCTTTGGATTTTGGCATACTAAATGTAGTCTCATATTTCCTTTATTTGGACAGACTGACACAAAGAAGATATCAGCGGTCTCTATACTTTTTGAGACCATGCCATACAGATTGAATGAGAGCACTGGCTATATTGATTATGACCAGGTAGCTTTCTACTTTTTTTATCATGCTTCGTTCTGTTTCATTGCTGTGCTATTTTCTGGGTTACGTTATAAAGATATTGTGAGGACTTACAATCTGCTACTTTGTGCACTACAATTATCATATGCCAACATCAATTTGTGCTTGAACTAGGTGTCTCTACCTGTTTGTTGAATTTCCTGATTGAATTATGTGTTTATTTCCCCAGATAATGTATGTAGAACATCGTTCCTGGTCATTTAGCTATTTGAAAAAGGATAAATATGCCTGTTTTGGCTTTGATTCCTTTTTTGTTTGGCTGGACCAAAGTTCTGATCCCTACAGATAAAGTGGGAGAAGTGAGACTATTGATTTTTTCATGTGTTTGTCATCCTGTTTCCTTCACGAATCATTAGAAACTCGATAACCCATAATGGTCCTCCTCAAATTCCACTTCCTTTAATATGGTTGCCCTAATAGTCTTAGTATTAAAGAAAAATCTGACTCTTGGCAATGGTCTTGTGTTGGATCTTATTTAATTCGTGGCAAAGGAAAAACTAGGAATCCCTTTTCTTTTTCAATCTTTCAAAAATGTAATAACTATGATTTGTTGTGGGTAAACTCTTATTTTCTAACTCTGTAGGAAAAAAGCACCATGAATCTCAATATAGAGAAGGTGGATAGGGTTACATGGCGTAATTAGAGAGTTGATATAGTTTTGAGCTTCTACCTGTGAGAAGTATATTTTTTTTTTATCTTGGGAGTCAAATTCTGCTTAAAACAAGCTAGGCTCATCACTAGTCCAATTCCATGCCTCTTTTCTCAATCCGAAACAAGTAAGTCATGTAATTAATATAAGCTTGTGAGATGGCATATTCTTTGAAGCTATGCATAGAGTACTTGATTCATCTAAAATTACAACTTTCATCTAATAATCTGTTTGCCATGCCGTGACATATTTAAGTTGTTGTCACGGTTGATAAAGCATTGTAGCATCTTTCTCCCATGGTAAAAAAGCTTGTCAAAATTAGTACTAGTGTAGCTGCAACTTGGATGCTGGTCTCTTTTTAGCGTAGGTGGTGTCCTCTACAACAGAGCTATTTAGGTCTAAAATAGAAAAACTAAGGAAATGAATACCATAGTACAACAATTGAAAAACATGAACTGATGAACTGTGAGTAGGCAGACATAATAGTTGCTTTGATTGATCTGCCCACAAGAGTGAGGTTTGTTTTTGCACAGTTTGTACTTTAAGATAGCATGGCACATTGACAATTCACTACTGGATGTTATGTGGAAGAGAAGCATATTTTCGCCACTTGCTATTTGCTCTATCTAGCAAAATGGACATGCATACTCTGCTATTGATGCAAATATTTCTGTGATATAGGGTTATCACTCCTTATTGCTTCTTTGTTTGCAACGTTATGGTCTATTATCCTTCGCCTCACAAAATCAAAGCCTTGTGTGGCAATAATGCATGCAATTTGATGTGATGAAATGTATGACAAACTATCGGTTCAATTTTGTTGCTAGACAGGTGCTATGGCCATTTTCATGTAGGAAATACAGGAAATTTTCAAAATTGCATGCTGTAAACTGCAGAATGGTTGTGTGGTGGTCAGTTTGATTATGCAGATCTTGGATAGTGTTGAGCTTGGAGATGGAATTTCAAGGCATGGAGCTGGACCGTTGAAGTTGTTCAAGTTTAAGAGACATTAAATGTAATTAGAGATGATTTAAATCCTCTTGAAGGATTAAAGCCATTTTTTCTATTTTTAGAACTTCTTGTTCTTTGATTCTTGTAATTCATTCTCTTTAGAAATAATTTTTTTTTTTAAAAAAGATGTGAAATGTATTAATTGTGCTAGTTTTTTATTGAACACTTGTATTATTGGTGTACAGGTGAAAATTTTTATTGGAATATCATTATTTATGTAAAATAAAAAAAATGAGTTTTTTTGTGACGAAATAAAAATCATTGCGAAAAATTGCAGGAACAAGCTTTTTTGCGACGATTCTTATACGTCGCAAATATATTTATTCAATTATTTTTTACAATTTTAATTTATGTAAGAAATTACTTGAGACGATTTTTTTACGTTGCAAAAAATTAATTAAATTATTATTTTTTATATTTTTTATTTAGGAAAAAATTATTCGCGACGACTTTTTTACGTTGCTAAAAATTAATTAAATTATTATTTTTTATTTATAAAAAAATTATTTGCGACAATTTTTTTACGTCACGAAAAATTAATTAAATTACTATTTTTTATTTTTTACGCTGGTGGAATAAATTTTAGCTATTTTTTACTTTTAGCGACGTTTTTTTTTGTTGCAAATTTTTTTTTGTTACAATGAAAATAAATTTGCGTCGCAAAATACTTTCTACGACGAACACGCGACGAAAAAAAAAATGTTGCAAAAAATAATTGGCGACGATTTGTTTTTAATTTGGCGACGAAAAAATCGTCGCAAAAAATAATTTTTGTTTTAGTGCATGACGTTAATGACACCACGAGTACTCCCATCAAGCCAAGTGATTCCCTCATGTCTTGCTCCACTTCCATCCACTTCCATAAAATGGTGGACTGCTAAAATGCCGGCTAGGGCTTGGCCTTTTAATATGTGCTATAGCAAGCAATGGAGTGAAAATTCCATCAGGCCAAAACCCATTTTCCAATTCGGCCTTTCATAATTGGCCTCGTTAGCATGTACTTAATTAAACTAGTTTGTGCAACAACATACACTACAACTGAAATCATATAAACTCTCAGCTTCTATGATGCAAAGTACAATGCTAAACAAAGTTTCTCGATTGATTTAAAACCTGTCTTGACCAGAGTTAGTATTCTACTTAAATAATAAATGGCTTGCTCTTTGCGTAAGCTATTATTGTAATCCATTAACTATCCAATAGACTCATGTGCGACTGATAAGTACAATAGTAGTGGCCTACCCTTAATGGGTGGCATAAGAACTGGTGGGCTCGCCAAATATTTCTTGATCTGACGGAATGCCTCTTGATGTTGTGCTTCCTATTTGAATTCTTTTGCACCTTTTAGCTTTGAAAGCGGAGAGAATGCTTGTACTTTTCCTGCACAATTGGCAATGAATCGCAGAAGGAAATTAACTTGATTGATTAGGCACTGAAGCTCCTTCTTGGTCTTTGGAGGTGCGGCCTTTATGATGGCCTTCATCTTGTTATTGTCTACCTCAATCCCCTTCTAGTGCACCAAGAATCCAAGGAGGTACCCAACTATAACCCCAAAGGCGCACTTTAGTGGGTTCATTTTTAGCTGATGGACACACATCCTTTCAAAGACTGACCTTAGATCATTAACATGCTTTTTCATGTCTTAAGTCTCAACTGTGATGTCACCAATGTACACTTCTACGATCTTACTGATCATGTCATGGAAGATGGTTCTCATGGCCCTCTAGTATGTGGTCCCAGTGTTCTTCAGTCCGAAAGATATCATTCTCCATTTAAATGTCCCAATTGACCCAGGACATCAGAAAATAGTTTTGTGTTGATCCTCTTCCACAATGAAGATTTGATGGTAGCTGCGTTGCTATCCATAAATGACATGATTACGTTCACGATGGCCATATCTACAAGCTGGTCTGCTAATGGCATGACATACCCATCTTTGGGAGTTGCCATGTTAAGGTCACGGTAGTCGCAACAAATTCTGATCTTATTGGTCTTCTTCATGACTGGCACGATGTTAGATATCCATTCTATGTACCATGCCACCTAGATGTACTTTGCCTTTAGAGGGCATTCAATCTCCTCCTTCACCAAAAACTTTACTTCTTAGGAGATCAACCTTAGGGCCTACTTAATCGGCATGTATCCTTCCTTGATCAGTAGTCGATGTTCCATTACTGTTGAGTCTAGCTTTGTTATTTCCTCATAACTTTAGGCAAAGCTGTCACAGTATTCTCTCAACAGCTGTATAATCCGTGCTTAAAATTTTAGTCCTAGCAGCTTGCTGACAAAGGTTGGTTGATGCTCCCTCGGCCTACCTAGGTTAACTTCGAGTAGTGAATCCTGAACCTCTATTAAGTCGTCAAGCTTAGTGAGAGTTGTATCGATTTCATCTAATTTGATGAACTCTCATGAGGTAATCTGCCTAGATTCGTCTTCCTCACATTTCACCATGTTAATGGTGCTTTGTTAGCTACTGGTCGCGTGTAGTGCATGGACCCTTTTTTTGCCAGGTAAACTCTTATCCTGGTGATATAGGCCCTTACAGCTTGCCTTCATTGCTTACTATTGTCAAGCTCCATCATTAACTGAGCTTTCAAGTTCTTCTGTATTGTTCAGCCTTTGCACATTAGTGGATTGAAGGACTTTTTCCTCTATTTGACATATCTCATTGGACCTCAAGTCATTCTGAAACAGAATTTCGCTTGGCTTTTTGTACTTTTCCTGGCCTTGAAATATTATGGGCCCTATTCTTTCTTTATAGAACCAAGCATCAGCCACGTGAACATTCGCTATAAATGGCATTTGTTTTGCTTCCAATACTTCAAAATCTCCCAGACTTCATAGCACCAGTTACTGATGGAGAGTTGAAGGAATGCACTCGCTCAAATGGATCTAGTCTCAACCCAAGAGATCATTGTAGGACGTCATTGTATTAATCACAAAGAATGGCGTAATGTTGGTCTTACTATTGATAGCCAATTTAATGGGTAGGACTCGCATTATCTTGTTAACTTCCTCTTGAATCCCCTCATCATTAAATCGTTGGGGACTAGGTCCTTTTCTTTCCTCCCAAGCTTTTTCATATTCATTTTGGGAAGAATGTGGATAGCTGCTTCATTATCCACTAAGACCCTATTGAAAGGTTTCCCTCCCGGTGTGCTCGAATGTATATCAGCTTCAAATGTTGAGTCATGGGCCGTATAGGTCTACTAAACGGCTAACACTTAAGGATGTTGGGAAGTGACACTTTATTTGTCCATTCTTCCTAGCTCGGACCTCCCTTGAGATGATGCTCTTCCTTGCA